GCCCCCTTCCTCACATTAGCACTACCAAGCAGCATTTTTCCCTTTCTTACTACATGTTTTCACCAGCTGATGGGCTCAGCTGTGTCCTGCAGTGGGGGCCACTGCAGTGCCAGCTGGAACAGGCTGTGTCCAGCATGGGACAGCCCTCAGCCTCTCCTCACAGAGGCCACCCTTGTATATTGAATAGTCATAGATAATCTAGAAGCACTGCAGAATTTTATGACTTAAAAGAAAAAAACCCCATCAAACTAAATGAGCAAGTATCTTTAAAACACTAGAAGTTCAGGCTACATAAATGCAGGCTATTTATACAGTCAAAAAAATATTTTGATTAAATTAGTCCTGCCAGGTAAGCTTTACATCTGATCAAAGACAAAATCATAAATAAAGTAGTTCATAAATAAAGTAATTCTATGATATACATACTTCCTGCTCGCCTTCGTTTTCTTCATCATCATCATCTTCATCATCACTATCAATTACAATGACATCATCTCTCTTGGACTGACCATCCTGAGATGATGAAGTATTTTGTTGATCTGACTGAAGAGGTCCAAGATCTATTGGGATAGATTGGGAAGTTTCTTCACTATCCTCCATCGGAGTGTACTCTCCCTGGGTAACACCCTGTAAAAGATAGAAGTAAATTACCAGAAGAAACAAAATGAAATGCAGCATATACAATTTTTAAAATATTCTTCAGGAAAGTGCCTATGTATTTCTAAAAGCTTTCCTGTTTCCACTCCTGCTCTCAACTTGACCAAATGGAGGCCTGCTCTACAACACAAGTACAAGTATTTTGTCGTTCACTTCCAAATCTGATTTGGAATAGGTGCCATCATTAGGGATACTGTATTCATATGCTCACTCTCTGAGCACACCACCAACACTGCAGTTACTGTCAGTGCACAAGACTGGTGATGGGACAACGAGAAGAGAAACAGACTCCAATGCTTAGAAGAGAAATTCTAGTTACTGCTGTTTCTTAATAACCAAGATAGGAGAGGACAAAAGAGAATGCTACAGATGATTGTCAGCAATCAACTACAGGCAACTAAAAGTCTCTGCAGCATCAAGGAACAACCATCTCTCTTCTAAGCATGAACTCTGAGCTGCTGTTTTAGAGTTCTTCTGGTCTGGAGGAACACTAATGCAATTCACATGATAGCCAGACACAGAGCTAGGAAATAGTTCTCTTTCCATTCAGCACATATGTATATTCAAAACATTTGAACTGAATCTGACAAGTATGACCAGAAGTGTTCAGGAAAAAAGAAAACCCAAAACAAAACCCCTAACACTAAGCTTGGTTAAGGATTTGCCAAATCATTCTGTAAAAGAAAAGCCAGAAATCAAAGAGAAGTACTCTAAAGGAGTAAGTGAAGAAATGAAAACTCCAATTCCATTTTAAGACTGTGACTCATTTAACCTCTGCATCTCAGTTTCAGTACATAAAACTGGGGTTAAAGATAATACAATTTCTAAAACAACACATCGAATTACAATTCAAAATTGCAAAGCTTCATTAACATTCTGAATGTTACTTACACAGGTACTTGCAGAGTACAAGAAAAACTGAGTATCTATCCTTAAACATTGCGAGCCTAAGCTTTAAAAGGTTTTAAGTGGTTTCCACTGGAAACCTGCAGGATCCGATTTGAAATATAAAAATATCGAGAGTTGGGGGAGAGGCAAGATAACTATTTCTGCTGTAATGAAGATTTTTTTTCTTTTCAAATATGCTTACTTCTCCAATTGAGTCTTGTGAATCTTGATTGTATGTTTGAGCTTCGACTTCACCATCAGTGCTCTCTTCTGCTGTCACTTCCTCCTGAAAGAACATATATTTTTCTCATTTAAAACACATCATTAGCCCTAATGTTTCGTTCTTTAACGTCTGAGATTTACTTTACTTTTTAAAAAAAACCTTACCTTTTCCCACAGAGACCATGGGCAATATTTTGTTCCCCTTTTACTATTATTCCTTAGCTCTGCTTTTATCTAGCACCCCATTTCTCTGCCCTGGAGAAATACAATTTCCCCATTCCAGTGCAGTCCAGTGCATCCTCAGTGTCTCTAAATCTTTTCAGGACCAAAAAAGAACCCTCAAGGTCTCCCATTCCATCTCCATCCTCTCAGCTAATCAAGTGTTAATGTTCTTACACAATCTTGCCCTTTTCTGTTATGCAACATCCCTCTTGTACAAGAGTTAATAAAACATCTTGGACTTCCTTAACATTATTCATGAGTTGCCTATTATGAGGTTCTGTCTCAAGTTCATTCCTTTTTTGCAGGACATCCCAATTTCCTCACACCAATATTTCACATGCATCTCCTGTAAGCTCTTCCATGGAACTCATCTTTGCTTCCCTGGCATCTCCTCAAGTACACTGTATTTTATTCCAGAATACCTTCCAGATTTATTCCAGAATACCTACCTGAAAAATATTTTTTCTTCCTCCTTATGTTAGGATATGGCCCTCTCTCTTCCATTCTACAGTTCACTAGGATTTGCATCATTCATTGCAACTGGTATAACCTCTGCCTTTTATGATACCCAAACATAATTGCTTCCTCCCTGACAGATTAAAAAGTTGCGTTATGAATTAACTGACTTGCACTGAGGTAATATACTTGCTCTTCGCATTAAAATCTTCGAAAGGGACAGATTAAGTAGTAGCGTTTTATGTTCTTGCAAACCTCAGGTCCAACTCTCTGTATGCTTCTCAGTTTCTTTGGAAGAGGTACATCCACTGTTTCCTCTGAAATCTGGTCCGAGTTTTCCACGGTGTTATCCTCCTCTTCCTCCCGTGGACGTTTAGACAGCGAGGAACTTGGGGTAGCTGAAACTTAAAAGAGCCTCTCAGTTATTTTCAGGACAACAAATGTACAAAACAGAAAATCAAAAGGTTTGGTGTTTTAGTCTGGAAGATTGTCTCTTTTCCTGCATTGAATGATAACAAATAGAATCCGATGGAATCACCATGTGCTGTTTCCTAGGACATGAAAACATCAGCCCCTTTTGTTACAAGTCTTATGCTCTTGAACCTATATTCACAACCTAACTGACCCCAAATGTAAGCTTCAGGGTACAACTAAAGTATTTTTTCCAACATCTTTGCTTCTGACACGTACACTTAAAAGTTTAACAGAGTACCAGCTGGGAAACAAAAAAAGCAGTTTACAAAAGCATATTTTGGGGAATAAACATTCTACATCTTGTGTTCAAAAAACGAGTAGACATGGCACTTTGGGACATGGTTTAGCAGGCATCGTGGTGTTGGGTTGATGATTGGACTGATGATCTTAAAAGATCCTTTCCAATCTTAATGATTCCTAGTTTTTACCTTCATTTAAAATAATCCAGCCACCAAGCCAGGAAACACGAAATTGCTACTCTACCCTTAATTGGTTTAGTGGTGGACTTGGTAATGTTAGGTTAATGGTTGGACTGGATGATCTTAAAGGTCTTTTCCAACCTAAACAATTCTATGATTCTACACCAAAATCTACACTAGGTAGGGCAAACAGATGTGCAACAGTGTATCACACTGAGTAGCTTTAGAGTTCTTCTCTGTATTTTATATTCCAGCTTAAGTAGCTTACTCATGACTCCTAAAATTAACCTTGCTCCAACAGTACCATGGAAACAGAAGCACCAAGGTTTAATGTATTAAACCCCAATGCTGCTCTGAATAGATAAACAAACATGTAAGTTTTTATTTTCTAATTTAAGGAATGCAGTGACAGCAGCATTTCAGAGGCACCATTTCTGAAGGTTCAAGAAAAGAGCCTAACCTCAGATACCTGTAAAATGTGCAATAAACTAAGGG